AACTTAAAAGGTGTCAAATTATTTTACGGTGAAACGTGTTTGGTTATCAAACTAAAATAAAACGTCACATTTCTTCGTATTTCTTCTTCATTTTTGTCATTCACGTAACGTCGCGAGGTTCAACAAAGTTCAATCAATTCTCTTTCTTTGTTTCTTTCCTTTATAACTTACATCAGTAAGAATCTACTGATGTAAGTTATAAAGGAAAGAAACTAAATAGTTATTTCGCAACAATATTGCTAGAAAGTTATGTTAAGTAATGGTTAATAAAATGAAACGTCATCCGACTTCTTTAAGGTAGTTGTTTCATAAACCAATTTTTTAGAAATTTCAAATTTTAACGGTATATTAATCGAAACACATAAACAATATATATGTGCAATTAGAAAAGAATTGACCATGCCGAAGCTGGGATAATTGAAGTCAAGTTTAACACTATTTAATTTACATGTATCACAGATACGAAAACTGAAAACGGTTTTCGATATCAGGTTTTCAACTAAGTCTAGCAACTAAATAGCTGTTACGGTTTTAATGGAAAACATAAAAGCAATAAAAGAGACCTTGGAAATACAAAAAAAATCCCAAAATCGTTAACTGCTCAGTTTTTAAGAAATTGATAAGTAAAATACACAAAAAAATGATACAGAAATTGACATAGAAATTGATAAGTAAAATATACAATTTATGATAACAATTAAAATATACGCAAGAGCTAATCTGTAACGTTTTTGTAATACTTTATACATTTTTACTTACTTTATTTCTGTTGGTTTCTTTTGTGTGTGACCCTTGATTAAATATCTTCTTAAAAATAGGATGATTAAATAATCTTTAAAATTTATATTCAATATGTAAAAATGTGAAAGATATAAAAAGTAAAATATAAAAAAATTTAAGATCATATGTTTGCAAACAGATATTTAACACACGGACAGTCTCAGCCAAAAGAATTAATACGTCAAAACGTCAGAAACGATTATTTCTTTACGGGTTTTTAAACTTTATGTGAATTTGATTAATATTCTCTAGTGTGTCAAAACTACACACACATGTCACATAAATCACATTTATAAACATTTAGCACAGATTTGTAGAGCTTCTTCGTATTGTATTAACTATTACTTAATATATCTGCCCTAGCAATATTTTTGTGAAATAACTATATAGGTCCTTTACTGTAAGTACTGTATGTAAAGAAAAGAAATAAAGAAAGAGAATTGATTGAATCTTGTTGAATCTCACCACGCTACGTGAATGACGAAAATGAATCTTCGCGAAAAAATATGAAGCTTTTTTTGATCTGGTGATCAAACGTGTTTCATTGTAGAATCATTGGGCTCTTTTGAGAAATTTTTATGGATATAAGTTATAAATTAATAAGAAATGAAAGAAAATTTGTTGAAACCCCCCCCCCCCTCGTTAAACCTCGCGACACTGCACGGACGATGAAGATAAACTTAAGATAAAGGAATGTTGGCAATGGCAACTGGAGAATAAAAACTGTTCGCGAAGTTTGAAACTGTATGTTCCGGGTTGTTGGCTACTAATAGCTCCATTGTAACTAATTACCCGCTTGCGGAAAATTGCTACATTCTTGTCCAAAGCGGAGGGACGCGATATATAGCGAAGAGGAAGCGTCGCAGAATCGAGGAGCAGAGACGAACAGGAGAAAGATAAGTTGAAGTGACTGTGTGAGTGTGGAGAAACGAAGAAAGATATAGTTAAGGTGCAAGTACCAATACTTAAATACATCCTTTAAACATTTTTATTGTATATTTGAATAAAAAATCATAGATAAAAAACGCAAATAAAAGGCCACACAATATGTCAATTGCGAAACACATTAAATCTACCATTACACATATAAATCTACACATTAAATAAACCAACAAGTGGAGAATCAAGTGTCGCAAGAAATCAACCAAATATTTCGATCGTCATTCCGACTTTCCTCAGTAAAAATGGAAAAATAATAATGCACAAATATATTATATTATACAGTTATGGATTTATCACATATGTGAAATACTGGAAGGACACTCCATACCTCAAGAATGGCATAGGATTTTGTGCATCTGAGAGCCTGATAATTCATTCAGGATTCTTTTTATTATTTTGATTTTTAAATACGAATTTTTAAATTTTCTACACACATATATACATATATATAGAGTATCCTAGACTCTTCTTCGCAATTTTTGTGGAAACGTAGAACGGATTGAAGTGAACATAATAGTACCATATTGTTTTGCAATATTTGCAATAAATCTCGAGATATTAATTAAAAAGGATTGATTAATGATCTATGACGCGCGATATGGTAAATAAGCTGTAGTAACGCCGTCCGCCATTGTATACTTATACATTAAGTCAAACTGAACAAAATATCCTTTATCATTTTGCAAATGATCACATAGATTTTTAGATATTAAAGAAGATTAATTTAGACAATTTAGATATTCAAGAAGATTTATGTATTGTCGTGCACAATCATATAGCAACTTTCTGTAATTAACCTCTTAGTTACTGTACGCCACTATAATGGCTTTCGCGCATGTTATCTTTTTGAATGGTACGCCACTATAGTGGCTTTCGCGTATATCATCTTTCTGAACGGTACGCCACTATGGTGGCTTATTCTTATTTCTAATAAATTATAATTTATTCATCTAAAACTGTATTCTAATGTACTTGCGTAGTGAAAAGCATTACCAGACACAAATCGCAGTGTTGCATTGTTTTCGCGTAGTCCGCGTTGAACTTTGCCGTACAGAGATATAGCTCCGCGGAAAGTCCTGCCGTAGCTAAGAGGTTAATAACTAAAAATCTACGCCATTACAGCTCATCTATCATATTGCGCGTGATCATTCACCAATCTTCTTTAATTGATATGTCGACTATTGTTACGAATATCGTAAAACGGTATAAGATTTTTATGTTCATCTCAATCCATTCTACGTACAAAAATTATAAAGGAGAGTCTGGAACATTCTGTGTGTGTGCGTGTGTGTGCATATATATATTTATATATTTATTTACTTATTTATTTATTTATGTATATACTATTTTTTATAAGTTAAATATTTGTATTTAAAGACTAAAACTATTAGAATGTCCAGATTTAGATACGTGTTCAGGCATTGGTAGCTTATTTTATGAATACTTTACAATAAAAGTGACACAACAATTGTTCTTAAGAAACGACCGATCGTAACGGGCAGAATGACTGTGTTGTGTAAAACACAGACTTTGACGGAAACTCTTCGACCACGTCTTTCACGTTTCTCCTCGGATCGAGTATCTTCATTAAGCCGCCGTTAACACGCGACGACAAACGAGCAAATAAACATTGTGTCGGCCAAACATTACTCCGGCTCGGCCGGCCCCGCTTTAAGCGGAGCGAGCTGTGCATAACGAGGAGAAGTACGGGAGAGCCGCGGGAGAAAAGCCTGCGTACTGAGCGCGTATCAACAATGTGAAGCAGAACAGCGAGGACGCCGACGAGACGGCGAAGCGAAACGATGAACGTCGCCGGGCAATCGGTAGCAACAACATCGTTAACAGAAGACGAAGAGACGCGCCTTTGACCTTGGCAGCGGGTTCCGCATTGCTGGGTCGTCGGGGAAGGTAGAAGGGCGTCCAGTCGTTGCTACCGAGCTACCTCTGGACTCGGGTAATGGCCGACCTTCAACTTGACCGCTCGACTTGAGCGCCCTTCTCCTTCGCTTACGCTTACGCGTTGCCAGCGTGACCGTTCACGGAACACTCGCTTATAATTTTAGAAGCGGGGTCCTTGACACCTAGCCACGAGACGACGACGACAACGACGATGAGGACGAGCGACAGTGGACATAAACAATCCTCAAACGCGCTATTTCTCTCTCATGTTCATTGACTCGCGTCGTCACATGTCCTTGTCACAGACTTTTACATATTACTAGAATGCTAATTTCTTATGTATAAGGTGGCTTGATTCTTATGTACAAAACGACGAGTATGTAAAGTCGTCCTTTCTACGATTTTGCATACGATTTTGACGATGTACTTTTGCGTATCTAAAATAATTAAATTAGCTTTTTATCTTTTCTCATAGTGCTGTCGTACATAAAAGTCACATTTTACTGGCATTATTAAAAATATATGTACTATTTATATATAATCTATTTCTCGAAAATGTGTACAAGTTTAGAACTATATAGGAGACGTAAACAAAGTATGCAAACAAATACGAAGGCATCACGTACTGATTATATACACATATATAAGAATTGAATTCTTTAGTACGTACTTTTTGAGAATATTTTATACAAGCGAAACTTAGGGAGTTAGCAATCTAGTAATACATAGGGTGTCTAACTCGTACCGTACCAGAGTTAATATATAGCTAGAATAAGTCGGGGTGAATAATGGAATAAGTGTCTTTTTTTAAACAACCACGTGAAATTTTGAGATATTAACGACGAAATATTTCTACCGAGCGGCAGTTTATTGGCTAATCAGCACGCGCGCTGTGGTAAGACGAACGCTATATGCACTATCGCATAGGCATCAGAGATTAGCCGGGCCAGCCTTCTAGCAACGAAGAAAATGGCCGAAAAAGAATATCACGCTGAACGGAGGACGATCAGAAATGCGATTTCGAGCCCACACATTTGTTGCTAGAAGACTGACTCGGTTAGCCTCTCTTGCCCACGCAACAGCGTGTATAGCGTCTCACCACAGCATGCGTGCTGATTGACCAGTGGGCTCGACTTGAGTTAACTATATAAATATCATAAAAACAAAATTGCAGGTTTGGTTCTTACGAGAATATCTTAATCTGAAGTTTTCCTAGTAATTCTATGTCATCTACGTAAAGTCGTGAAAAAAGCTGAGTTCTTATTAACCCTATTTTATTTAAGTTTTCTTCTACTTTTTAAGTTCTTCTACTTTTTAAACCTAAGATTCCAGATGGAAGTCTTTTCTAAAATTTGAATATATTCTTGTTTTTATTGCAGACACTCAATCAAGATATCTTAATGAATACAAAAGAGGAGGAATGGAGTGTTCAATGCATTCAGGACAACAACGTGATTTTGAGAGATCGCCTAATGACGGACGCAGCTCTCGGTGGACCCCGACCGATCAAATCCGAACACAGTTACAGCCTGAACCTGACCTCCAGTCCTCCTCCGAGCCCTACGATGCCAGGAGGTAGTCCTCACACGCCCAACGCAGATTCGTCCGCGGGTACGGTTCTTTCAAACACGGCGAGTAACGTCGCCTCCATCGATTTCGTCCACTTGCATCACAAACCTCTTGAATTTCTTCGCAGTAAAGTCGACGGTAAGAACATTGTGCTTATCAAGACATAGTATACAGGATGTCTCAGATTTTCCTCCACAATTTTTGTGGGAACGTTTTGTGGGAATGGATTGAGGTGAACCTGAAAGTTCCGTACTGCTTTGCGATATTCACAATAAATCTTGAAAAGAGATTTAATTAAAGAAGATTGGTGAATAATCACGCAATGATATGATAGATGAGCTGTAGTGGCGCCGTCTGCCGTTGTATATTTACAGATAGCACAGAGAATTCAAAAAAAATTCTGTCGTATGTCACCAATTCTGAGTTCATTTTCAAATGTAAAAAAAATCTTCAAAGTTCAGTTCAGTGAATAGAATTCTTTTTGCATCTAAAAATAAGTTCAGAATTGGTGACATACGATTGAATTCTTTTTGAATTCTTTATGCTATACATTAGACCAAACTGAACAAAAAAGTCGTCTAAGATTTTATAAATGACCACATAGATTTTTAGATATTAATTAAAGAAGATTTGTGCATTATCGCGCACAATCATGTAACAATTTTCTTTGTTAATAACTAAAAATCTACGTTGTTATTTACAAAATGATAAAGGATTTTTTTGTTCAATTTAACTTAATGTACAAGAACATAACAGCACATATTAGTACTACAGTTCATTTACCATATCGTGTGTGATCATTCACCAATCTTCTGTAATTAATATCTCGACTATTATTTGAATATCGCTAAACGGTATAGGACTTTTATATTTACCTAAATCCATTCTACGTTTTCATAAAAATTGCAGAGGAGAGTCTGGGACATTCTGTATAAATCTAATGAGCACCTGAATACCTGAATGAGAAGTATTAGGTCGCTTTCCTCGCTGATCAAATGAACTGAAGTACTCGCAAAACTAGGAATAAACTCACAAAAATGCTGCTTCAACTGCAAGCCAAAACAAACAAATTCGTCAGACATTTTGAATTATTATATACCAGATCTTGATTTGTTTATTGCAATAGCCAGAACAAAGTCGGAAACATCACGTTTGAGCTTACATTCGCGTTTATTAAGTTAAATTACATCGTCGAATCATCATATATATTTTTTTTTGTTTATATATATATATATATATATAAACAAAATCGATATTTTATGATGTAGTTACATACGAATATAATGCAACAAACATGGGGTTAGAGAATATATATCTTAAAAGAACGTTCATTTATTCCTTTTAGTTTTATCCAACTTGTCAGTCAAAAACATACTGTTATAAATTTGAGTAATTTTTATAAATTTTTATGAGAAATTACAAACAAAAAATAACTTTTAACTTGACAGTCAAAAACATTATAAATTTGAGTAATTTTTATAAATTTTTATGAGAAATTGTAAACAAAAAATAACTTTTAAAATTACTCATTATTTCGACTGCTGTAGTAATTCTAATATTAATGGTATATATTCGATAAGTACTCTCTCTATTTTTTCTGTTCAACCTGCTTGATTTTAGATATGGAAGAGGAGTATTTTTCAACTATCTCGATGAACACCGCTTCAAACCGCGGTGAACCATCGTCCTCACTCACATCGTCCTCTACCTCAACCGTGATTCTCAAGAAGAACAATCTAGAACCTGGAGACAGCGAAAATTGTCCTGAAATCAAGGACGAGCCCATTAGTGAGCCATCCAGTCCTTGTCAGCCGAGTTGCGATATAGTCGATGATAAGAGTACGATAACAATGGTGCCAGCGCAAAGTCTTCACTACGCGAACGGCTTAGTGTCGCAAACGAGCGACAGCGAAGAGGAGGACGAAGAGTGCGATACGGTATATCAATATGGGGCAATACTGTACGATATAGATCTCTCGCGAGATAAACTCACATTGAAATCTACTTTTCTCTGATTTATTTCTATCCACGCGCGTTATCGGATATTATCTGTGCTATCACTTACATCAAGCAAAGTATTCACTGTGATTGTATTTATTTGAAGATACTGGATACTTACGCAAGCCCAAGAACGTAAAGCATAATTGTAGGGATATAACAATGAGTTAAATTACAAATATCAACTTACAATAATGTTCTTATCGCAGATATCGAGCTATAATTATTTTCTAGAATTCCTTTAATATGTGATGTTGGAAGCACACACACACATACACAAAATTTAGATTAAATAACTTGATTATACCGATACATAAATGTATAATTATCATAATTTCTTGGTTCCAGTATGTAGAAGTTGCAGACTCCAATTTGCTTGACGAGAGGAAAGAGACGGTCTCGCGTACGTCGCGACAAGGGTTGCCGCCGACGCCGCCAAGCAGCGCAAGCTCCGACTGCGAGTATACCGCTTCCGCTTCCTGCTCGCCGGAACGTCGAGATTCCCAGACCTCTACGAACGTACAGAATCTCAAAGGATTACTGGCGCAATCATCAAGGCTTTGCACTACCAACGGCACTCACACCACCAGGCAGCCTATTCATACGCCTCTGATTTCCTGTCAGCCGGTAAGAATTTGTCGCAAACGAGAATTTGTCAACAGTAATTTCGTGCCGATTATCATTAGACCAATGTCTGCTATACAGTGGATTATAGATATATATCGATTATTAATAAATCATATGATATAAAGAAAGAAAAAATGAAATAAACATTTTGGCGAAAATTACACATAGTCCCATTTATTCTTTGCTTATTTATTTATTTTTTATTAAACGTTTTAATAGATTTTTATGTATGTCCCTTATTCGTTACAGTTATATCATATCCTATAGAAATTTCTATAGCACAGTGCGCACTGATTCGCCGATTTTCCTTCATTAATTCGAAATTGCACATAGTTGTTTGAAAACTAGTAAGGTACTTTTTTCAGATTAACATAATCTGTCTGCATACGTGTATTGACCTATTTCGGATCAGACGCCTTATATATTATATCTTTAATTTCCAAATAATTTTAATAAATGGTTTTGTGTAAATAATCTTTTTACTATGACCGATCGGAACTTACGTTATTTTAAGTCATGATGTCAGCAAGTGATATCTAGTGTGCAATAATTTTTGGAAGCTATTTTTCAACCTAAAAAGATAAGATTATTGGTGATTTACATAATGTACATTTACATAATGTTAATGCGCGTGGTTTTGCATACTGTTATATCAGCAAGGCTACTAGATCTTCATAAACAAAGTTGAAATTTCTTGTTCATGTGTGATTTTTACGCGATGGGTGTTTATTTCCATGTCAGCTTACCTTATCCACGACACAATAATTTGTTTTTTTCTGTCAAATATATTACGTATTAATATGATGCACTTATATGCGACCAACATTATAGAAGGGATCGACGGGAACGTTGATACTAACGGACGAAGAAAGGAAAACCTTGTTAGCCGAAGGATTCCCCGTGCCTACGAAGCTTCCTCTGAGTAAACAGGAGGAGAAATATTTGAAAAAAATCCGAAGGAAAATCAAGAACAAGGCAAGTAAATCGTGTAAAGAAACGTACGTTTATATGTATTAGATGTACAACTTTGCTTCCGCCGTTTTCCTATAGATGGCTTTAGCGGTAAGCGGTGGTCGAAATAAATAGATCATAGACGTCATACAATAAACTTGGGCATCTGTCAACATAACCCCATAGAAATATTAGTCGATTTGTATCTGCATCATAAAGTTATTCTCGATTGAAAATGTCAGTTTACGAGCCAAATTCTCGTCATTTGCGGGAGGTTTGAATTTTCTGCTTCAGTATGAAGAAATCTGCGGCTGAGGCTCATCGAATGCTCTCAAATACTTATGGTGAAGCCGCTATTAGTGAAAGAACGTGTCGTGAGTGGTTTTAACGCTTCAAGAACGATGATTTTGACGTCGAAGACCGGCATAGCGGTGGAAGAGAGAAGGTTTTCGAAGATGCAGAATTGGAGGCATTACTTGATCACGACTCGTGTCAAAATCAAGAAGAATTGACACGATCATTGGGAGTGACTCAACAAGTCATTTCAAAACGCCTCAAAGCCATGGGAATGATTCAGAAGCAAGGAAATTGGGTGCCGTACGAATTGAAGCCGAGAGATGTTGAACGGCGTTTGTTTGCTTGTGAACAGCTGCTTGAAAGGCAAAGACGGAAGGGATTTTTGCATCGCATTGTGACTGGGAACGAAAAATGGGTTCATTACGATAACTCCAAGCGCAGAAAATTATGAGGAGTTCCCGGCCATGCTTCCACGTCGACGGTCAAACCGAATATTCACGACTCCAAGGTTATGCTCTGTATTTGGTGGGACCAGCTCGGCGTAGTATATTATGAGCTGTTAAAACCGACTGAAACAATCACAGGCGATCGGTATCGAACGCAATTGATGCGTTTGAGCCGAGCATTGAAAGACAAACGGCCACAATACAACGAGAAACACGATAAAGTGATTTTGCAGCATGACAATGCTCGACCCCATGTTGCGAAAGTAGTCAAGACATACTTAGAAACGTTGAAATGGGAAGTCCTACCCCACCCGCCGTATTCTCCAGACGTTGCTCCCTCTATCACTTGTTTCGATCAATGGCACACGGCCTGGCTGACCAGCACTTCCTGTCTTATAAAGAAGTAAAAAATTGGATCGATTCGTGGATCACCTCAAAAGATGACCAGTTTTTTCGACGCGGGATTCGTACGCTGCCCGAAAGATGAGAAAAAGTAGTGGCCAGCGATGGACAATACTTTGAATAATAAATGTATAACCAGTTTTTTACAATAAAGCCTCGAATTTCGGAAAAAAACGGCGGAAGCAAAGTTGTACACTTAATACATGTGTATAAGGGCCGATGGTTCCAATCTTTTGATAAACTTTATATTGAAGCAGAAAATTAAAACCTTCCACAAATAACGAGAATTTGGCTCGTAAACTGACATTTTCAATCGAGAATAACTTTATGATGCAGACACAAATCGACTAATGTTTCTATGGGGTTATGTTGACAGATGCCCAAGTTTATTATATGACGTCTATGATCTATTTATTTCGACCACCACTTACCGCTAAAACCATCTATAGGAAAACGGCAGAAGCAAAGTTATACACCTAATACAATCGGCGTCGAAAAGATTATCCGGTTTTTTGTGACTTTCGGAACGCAACCAATCTTGTCCAATGGGAAAATTCTCTTAATGACAATATAAATTCTTTTCAATAAATTCTTCTATTGGACAAAATAGATGCGTTCCGAAAGTCACAAAAAAAAACCGAACAACCTTTCTGGCGCCAATTGTACATTTAATCCATTACTATGCTAAATTTGTATGCGGTTTAATTTTTTTCTTTTTTTTTGAATTATTAAATAATTATCTAAATACGATTATACTAAGTTTTTTCAATACGTATTAAATAAAGCAGAGTAATAATAATAATAATAATTTAATCTCTGCGAGTTTGTATATTTTTAAAATACATTTTCTACTATCTTTTTCATATTTCTCTAAACATAGATGAATCCGTTGAAGTGCGTTTCGATGGAAAAATAATTTTTTTAAAAATTGGTTGACTTTTGTGGTAATTATAACGAAATATATAACATGGAGTAGACATTATCCCAAAATGCAGGCCCGTGATTTTTTAAAAGTGTAATATCTTAATTCGAAGAACACAATTCATCACAATCATGTAAAGTGAAGAATTATTAATCACAATCATGTAAAGTGAAGAATTACTGTGTGTAAATATAAATATAAATAAATAAATATATACATGTATTTATATTTATACATACATATATATATATATATATATATATATATATATGTATGTATGTATAAATATACATATATACATATATATACATATAATATTTTATATCTATAGTAAAATTATAAAATTAATTATAAAATTAATTATAAAATTTTTATTTACAAAATCTCAATTTCTGTAATATATTTTATAGATATCAGCACAAGAATCACGAAGGAAAAAAAAGGAATATATGGACAACTTAGAGAGGCGAGTCAGTGTATTGACATCCGAGAATTCGTCATACAAAAATAAGTTGAGTGTTCTGGAGAATACAAATCGTGGGTTACTGAAAGAGGTACAACGTCTTCAGGCATTGCTGCATCTACAACAGTCTTAGATTTATTCGCATCATCTGAATAACGTGAACATTGATGACACATTAAAATATAAACACAAGAGATTTTTATATTGATCATTCTTTTAAAAAATTGACTTCTAAAGATTAATTTGCAAAATTTAGGAACTGCTTATACTGAGTACTAGACTAAGAAAAAAAATTTTACAGGCGTTTTTAAGGCTTCTTGTTAAACACTTTCACTTACTGTGAAACTCTTAATTAATGATGTCAGAAATAAGAAAGTACGCTCTTCTCTTATAAAATATATATTGAAATAAAAAAATATATTCATCAAATTAAACAGTCGATCAAGCAGTAGATAAAATAATTAGAACATTTTTTTTGCTCTAATAATTAATAAATTATAATAAATTTAACGATATGCGATTTGCTTTCTTAAACTCTCTTTCCCTATGATTCTGTATGTGACATAATTTTATATGTCATTTATATTATTTTATTATTTTACAAATACCTTGATCAATTGCAAATGTTTTCTTGTGAAGATATTGTTTTATTTTAATATATTTTGCAAGAATTTTGAACGTATATTTTTTCGCTTCTGATGATACAAATCAAGATGGTTGAGATGAGTAGCCAGAAGCCTTAATATAGGTCTATCCGTTCCTATCAAGTGCATCTTGTTCCTGTTTCTTCATTCTTACAATTTTCCTTTATGAGATTCAAGGAATTCTTCTTTATGAGACATCTTCTATTTTCATATCATCTTTATATCATAAAGAAGAATTACATGAATACCATAAAGTATAGCAAAAATCATCATATGTTCTTATCACTAAGTCACAGAGTGATCAGAGCTAAAAGAAATGTATTTTTAGGGATTAGTGCAATTTCTTTACATTCCTAGAATACATGCAAAATATGGTAATCTTCTTCGTACATGCAAGATGTGGTGGAGTTTCTTGCGAGTCGCAATCGCGATTTAATGTACGTTGCATGTCGCGCGAGAACTGTTCGAATCGTTCTTCCTGGTAACAATGCAAAGATTTACACTAACATAGTATATATATACACATCGTCTTATGTCTATCGTCGGATTGATGCGTTTTCGCTGGGAGTGCCTTCAACTTGAATTCCGTATTTCTTCCAATCTGCTTTTGATTATTCTTTTATATTTATTCCTAAAGAATGGTGACGAGACTAGACCTTAGACTGTTCAAGAATCTTGACGCGTTTTGGAAAAATAGCACACTATATATATGTCGATTTGTCATGATTACCTGTGACAAATCACGTACAACTGAACATTCTCACGTCGATAAAACGCGAACACAAGATTCACGTCAGATAGTTTACCTCGAATCTATACTTTTATATCGGATTTCGGAGCTTAGCGATAATAATCATACGATCATTCTTCTCAACTACATAAAATATGTTGCATATTTGCTTGACGCAAGACATAAAAAACCACGTGTGAAAGTAGGACACGTCCACTTGAATACGAGCTACTTACGCTCGCAGTTATGCTAAATAACGTTTTCGAAAAATTAATTTTAGAAAATTATATGAAAAAACGAGAAGCACTCGAGTCGCTGAAGCCGCTCAAAGCCTAGCGTGGTTCAATTGGTCTCAGTTGGTCAAGAAACAGTAGGTAGCGCGCGGCAAGGGGAAGAAGAACGCATCACTACCTGTGCCTATATCACTGCGCTTCTACGTCTTATTGCATCACACCGAGACGGAACGTAAGAGGGCAGCGATATAAGCACATGCATTGGCGCGATGTACTTCCACTCACCGCGCGCCGGCATCCGCGTGCTATATTACTGGATTCACGCTGCGGCTCGAGCACTCCTCCTTCGATTATTCAGCGCGCGTTTTTCTTTAATCTTTCACAATTAATTTCTCGACTATTATTGCGAATATCGCAAAATGGTATAGGACTTTTGTGTTCATCTCAATCCGTTTACGTCCTCATGAGAGATTGTGAAGGTAGTCTGGGACATCCTGTATATTGGCCTTATATTTGTGTCCTTTAAAAGTATGTATCAAAAGTGCTTTATTGTGCATGCGTCAAATAAGCGCACGAGGAATGTTGTTACATTTACACGTCAGCAGAATATGGGTTATAAAACTTTATCTTACATCATTTTTACATACATACATACATACCTTTTTATTTATTTTATTTGTGACATTAGCAAAAAGCCGCGTTCCGTGTGAGCTTATTTGGCGCATGCGCACTAATCTATTTACAAGTTTTATACATAAAAGTTGGGTACGTCTCACAGACAGGAGTTAGCAGTCTAGTGTATTATATAGAAGTCTATGAACGCTATCGTGTTCTTCTATCTTTATCGCTCCTTAGATATACAATAAGGATAGAATGATATAGTAGCGCTAAATAGCGCTAATAGTGAGCTCCCCGAACGCACCTATAGTGTACTATTTTTCTAAAGCGCCAACCCCAACGGTGACTGCGGACGTTGGTGCAACGTATAAGGACGTTCTTAAAAGCTTATCGATCATGCACAACAACAACGATAATCTGTTTTGGTTCGAAATAGCACAATGGACATGTTTGCAAAGTGTATAGTTCAATATTCTTGGCTAGTCCATGACTAATCGCCTAATCTTCACGTTTGCGAGTTGCCAGAAATCGAACGCTGCCAGAAACGGCAACGACAAAATTTTCAAAGAGAGAGGGAGACAGACAGAAAAAGAGAGCGAGAGATAGGTAGAGAGAGAAAGAAAGAAATAGATGGGAGAGAGAGAGAAAGAGAGAGAGAGAGAGAGAGAGAGAGAGAGAAGGGATACGTACTGAAATCAATTTCGGAAACTGTGTGAGTTATAAAGTTGGTAGACCTTAAATTCATTTGGACACGTTCCGTAATCGATCAGCTGATTCACGCAATCTACTTTATAATCGGATTCGAAAAGGTTCGCAAATGTAATTCACAAGATCTATACATCTTTCGCTCCACGTTACATTAGCCGTACAAACAATTAAAAAAAAAAGGATTATATCTTATACGTAACTTAATAAGACGTGAAATGCGTGGTAAACCACAAACTTCTAATAATCATGAAACGAGATAAGCACAAACTTCTAAAAAAAACATTTTAAAAAATAAAATGTCTTATGAACGTTTTTAAAAAATCATAGAAGTTTTTGCTGTTTAAAATTTTAGAGCTATTATGTCGACTTGTATATATACTCAGTTTCAAAACTGTTTGAACACTTTTTTTCGATAAAATTCGAAATATAGCTGATGGTTTAATGAGAAAACTTTCGGGGATTAATTTAAAATAAGTTTTGTCATTAGACTATCGTCTCAAACTGTAACGAAACAAAGTGTTTAAACCATACTCTAACAGCACACATTAGTTGGCTAATGATTGGCCACTGTAGATTCTACATTGGCCTATAGATTTAACAGTTGTCCGATACTTTGTGCTGCTGAGGTATTGAAACCAAGTATACAGGGCATTACATAAAGATACGGTCATGCTCGAGAGAATCGTGTGTAATATGTAAGATTTTCACGACATTCCTAAACACGAAGCTGTATCGTTTACTATTTAAGGCAGTGCTCGGAATTATTTTTGTATTTGAGGCGATTTTCACGAGCTGCGCTTATTACTTTCGAGCGGCTCTCCGCCTTAGAACTGTTAACATTAACGTGAAGCACATCCAGATGTCTGTCAAACATTCCAGGTAGCAGACTCACATCAAAATGACGTCCAAATCTGGTCAGTTCATGACCAAAAATGTTTTGAAAATGTCGTCAAAATGACCGTCTAATGTTACAGATCGATGACGACATTTTAAGACGACTTAGTGACGTTTTAATGACGTCTCTAAACGTCAATAATACGTTATTAAGACATACAGAAACATCATTAAGACATGTTAAAGACATCATTATTTAGTCAATCGACCACTTATGACCAATTTTTGACGTCATTTTGACGTGAGTCTGCTACTTGGGATATGTTGAAGGAGCGCGCTAATCGGCGCTAATACGTTATTCTATCTCATTCAATCTTTGTTATACATCTAATGAACGATGAAAATAGAATAACGTGTTGAAAAAAATTTTTATATATTTGTATAATGTATATTATACATTGAGTTATTTCAATAAATTGTTCAGTCATTGAGGTGTATTCACGAGAAGAGCGCTATCAACGCTAACACGTTCTATCTTCTGAGATGGAGAGCCGCAACCGTCAGTTGCATGGCCCGTCGCGTGGCAAGGGGAAGTAGTAGATGTAGTTCCTGAAAATAATTCCGAGCATTGATTTAAAGAACTCTTCGGCCAACTTTCAATCGATCGATAGTTGAACGTCACCGTGCATGCACGGAAAACCGTCCGACTTGCGTTATCATTGGTATCGTGGGCGATATCAAGACCTATGTCTTTTTGGGAACAACTGTTCTCTTTGCAACTTTAGCTTAAGATTGTGCATGCAGTCATCAAGTGCTGTCACTGCGATATTGACAGATGCCAAGGATCATTCACATCGATGTACCGCATGAAAGTTGTGGAAAGGGACCAACGCGAAGTCGCGGACTTTTCCCTTTTTCCTTTCTTCCGTCACACGTTTCATTTTATATAATTGCCAAATAAGTATAGGATTTAGATTACTCGCGTAGCATTCGGAATATGATAAAACAGACCGGGCTACGTTGGCCCTGAGAGTCATGTTGGCTATGCGATCTCATTCCTTTCAAAACATAAAAAAAGATGCTCTTGTTCCAAGAAGAACATTTTGAGGCTTTCTTCACATTTTTCTCTCATAAATATATAAATGAAACGCACGGCCAACATGACCTTTACTTGCCAATTTCATCCGATCTTCCTATTTGTACTGAATGGTTACACATACCTCGCATGAGTGTTTACTGGAAGAATCGCGACTACCATTGTACTAATATTATGTCACTTAAATGTGAATGCGCACACATTTTGGTCAACTGACAATTCTCTATCGTATAAATGTAAATTCCAATGTGAAATGCATAGAAAATATAAAAAGAAAAGAAAAGGAATGAAAAGAAGATAAATATATGAAGGGAATACAGTATGACCATTAAACAATCTTCGTGTATTTATATACTCTCGAAACTTTAATATCACGTTTAAATTGCCAATCATATTGCGTCTTCGAGTTTCTAGCCAAAAGTTTTTTCGTGAAACTTCTTTAATCATTTGTCGACTCTTAAGAGATTCATAGATTTCGTTGAAATAATACTGCAGAAGGCTGTTGTATATATCTATTTATACGCCACTATGCTATAGAATCATGCCATTGCAAATTTTCTCACACTTTGACTAATCAATACTTACGGTATCCTTGAAGTTTTTTTCTTTTTTTAATTAATTCTTTAGAAATTGTGTAATTCTTTAGAAATTGGTAGAAGAATACTATAAAAATGATTCTGATACTATAAAAATGATAGAGTTACACGCATCACGATTGGCATTCCTGAAAATAACTCTTTGAAATATTCATATAGAACTATTCCATATTAACGGGTGATTATGAATTCTAAAGAAATAGAGTAGAAAAAACAGAGATGGAATTACAAAATATTTCATAAACATTAACTAATAGTAACATTACATCTCTCTCTTAATATTATAATTTCCTACTTAATAATGTAAATTTAGTATAATATCTTATATGTAACTATTACATATTATTGAATGAAAATTTATAATATTGATACGATTTTACTGTTATTTGGTGTTTGCAATCTTTTTCAAAATGAAGTAATTAAAATAATTAAAATAATTCAAATGAAGTAATTAAAATAATTAAAATAATTAATATAAATTCAGTTTTCAACTGTATAAAAAAAGAAAAGAATTTACAATTAAATAAAGAAAATCATATAAAATTAAAAGAAAATTATATTACACGCGATCGTATTCAAATTATAGAATAACAATTTATAAGTAAAAATATAATATATGAACCCAGTTCAGTTATACTCACAATCCAATAAAAAGTTAATGGTTTCGCTTATCTCTTTATTATACCGAGATATTATTTATTCATGAAGGAAGTCCTAATTATTATATAGCACACACAAAACACTGAAGATGACATGAGTATCTGCTAAACACAAATGCAAAAACTAATAAATAAAACATTAATAATTCTTTACAAATTCTCAAAATATTCGAAATATTAAGTTACGAAGTGTGCCTTATAATAAGCTTTTGAAGAATACTTTAAAACGAATATTTTTATTGGAATGGAATTAATTCTTCAAGAATTCTTCAAGATTGATTTTCCAAATTCTGAAGATATAGTTTAAAATAAATTCTTAATGAGAAAGCTTTTATTCATCTCTATATTGGGTTTGGAATCGCAATTCTCCGCGAGCTCTTCAGACGTCACAGTGTCGCACCATCATCTTTCAAAAATTTTCTCAAAGTATAACCACTACGCTATAGAATTTACTGTGACAATTAAAAGTAATAGAAACACTACAAACTTTTAAACAAAAATTATATTTACGACAGAACCTCAAACCATAATAAGAGTTTTGATTAAACGCATCTCATATCTGGACGCTCACATAAAATATTTTCGTTTAATCAAAAAGAAAATAAAATATATCAAAAATATATACGAAAAACGATAATCTTCTCGTACCTTCGAACTAATCGTAAAATGTATAATTTACAAAATTTTCAGTTTTCTGTAAATATTTCTTTTCTGTAACGCTTTTGGGAAACTTTACACAGCCAATCTATCTATAAGATTAACAAAATTGATTTATATTCACATGTCACTCGTACATATGTATGTATATTATAATTGTAAAAAAATGGTGTAATGTAAACGCAGAACAATAATTTTTCCTTGAGTGATTTTTTTCGTGAAATTTAATTGATCCTTCATCGACTCTTAAGACACTCGTAGATTTCATTAAGACAATATTGCAGACGCGTACTGTTTATTCTACCTATGCAAGACTAACTGAAAAATTGGTTTATATTTACGTTTGATTTTCATATGTACACGTATTATTTGTCTTATCATAAAGCAAATTGTGTAATGTATCAGTAAAAATAACATAGTTCCTTGCAAAATATTTTTTATATTATGTACGGAATATCATATGTATATTTCCTCTATATAGAATCCCCTATACAAATCTCGTACATACATTATAAATAAATTGCATAATATAAATTACTGGTTATTAGTAACCTGAAAATCATTTTTATTGTATTCTTTTATGCATTTCGATAAAAATGTATAATTTAGGAGAGAAATAAACTTCAGGAATACCTTAAGAATGCACAATGTTGTCCGCGGGACGAAATCTTATCACTAAATTCTTCTTTTTACTGGTCATACTTATACACATGTGCGTACTAGGATCGAAAGTCTAGAGTAAATTTTAAGAACGATATCGAGTGTTTAATTTCAAGAAGATGCCGGATCTTTAGAAAAGCCTAACGAAAAAAGATCTGCTGAAGATATGTTGTTGCGAATAAGTCAATGAGAAAAGTCAATAATCAGTAATCGATCATTGATTATCGATTATAGTTCTTAACATAAATGTGAATGCAAAGGCACGCATCCTTCAAGACTCCGAAAACTCTATAAAGCCACCGGATTCGCCAAGAAGATTTATCTTTTTGTCTATATACAGGGTGACACCGAACAAGATGGCCAAACTTTGGTACCGTATTCTACTCTTCCTAAGGATGAAAAAAGGTTATATAAACATAGGTCCGAAAACTCGTCCTTTTTGAGATATAAATACTTTTTTGTTTATAATTAAGTACTGTAGGAATGTTTAAAGCTTACTTAAAGAAATTGCTGGAAATAATTTCCTTCTGCAACAATACACGCTTCACATCGACGTTGCCAATGGTACATTCCGGACTTATGTTTATGAATCAGAGACTTCTACAAACATTTCTACAATATGGTTCAAAATGTTTAATATGGTTAAAAATGGTACAATATGGTCACAAATGTTTGGTGTCACCCTCTATATATTTAAAAATTCATATATATATATATGCGTATTTTTAAATGTCACTTGTACGATGAAGAAAGAATTATATAATTGTACAAAATAGCGAAAATACAGAGGAAACGAAAGAGAATAACGATTTTTATCGAAAACAGAGTTTAATATATTCTATGAATGAAGCTTTATATAAATGATTATATATATAAATATATTAATATTATATACATATACATAGATTATATATATTTTATGACAAATTATGAATGATAGGAATGTTCGACGAAGAAAAAGCGCACTATTGTTTGTTACGATTACTTATCACAATCATAATCATTAACACGATCTATCGTTTTCTCATATGCAATGTGGAAATGCATCATGCGTCTGCTATAATCTGTACTTGGCGTCTATATATATCCAGAATTCTTATATATATTAGCGAGAGATACACACACACATACACGCACACTACACAACACACCACACATATTTTACTCGATGACGTTTCAAGTCCATTTATTATGTATGCGTGTAATGTACCTACACGATAATGCGCGGCATCACGTGACCGCTGTAAAACGCGGTGCTGCGACTTCGAGAATGGATGTTGTTCGACAATAAAAAATAAACATTTGTGAGCAAAAGTTGTTTTATATGATTTAGCAAGTAACTTGTTGCTGTTACTCACAGTGGTTTATTGAACAGAATAATTTATTACCATTATTATTGCTCATTTTGAATAATAATTTGTCAGAATTATCGTTATCCAGAAATATCCAGTTGTAATCATTTTCGTTGCTTTTCTTATTGAGCTTTAAGATTCCTGGCTCCACAATAAATTAATATATGAAATTAGTATATGAACTACTTCTTAACTATGTATAATTCTGCAACTTTGATGTTATGATAAAAATAATAATTTTCCCTTAATTTGATCATTATAGAAGTAAACACTCGGTACATTTGCCTTTGCAAAACATGTATAACATCCCCATTATTATTTGTATTATTAGAATCGACTTTTCTATCATGTTTCCATAGTTATTAACTGTTTAAATAGTTGTTCTAAATAGAAAACTGAGGAAGAATCGATTAGAATATTTTGTTTTGAATATTCTATTTAGGTTTGAACATTCCACAAGAATATAGAAGTGAACCAAGTAGGTTTTTACTACTGGCATCAAAGTGGCCCAGTACCGATTTATGGTAAACCGTATTCGGTACAAGTTTGAGCTTAATTACAAAATACAAATTTGGAAAAATCACATATATACGTATACTGTATATAAAAAAGCGATAAATATATAAAAACAGTACACGTACGCGCATATACGTGTACTGTTTACCATATTTTTATATACATTGTGTGCAAAAATTATGTTTCATTTATAAAAAAAATTGTTAACGATGAGTTAGGTTAGAGTTAGGTTTTTAGGGGAGATGGAGTGCAGAGGAAGGGGCAAAGCCCCTCTCCCGTGCATATATGTGCACTGTGTGTATTTATATGTGCACATTAACTTATGCAGTGTCGCAATATTACAAGGTATTAACGAAACTTTTTTTAATAACTTTTTAAGAAAAAACGAGCGACGACTAAAACCTTCTGAAGGTTACTCGGGGTCATCACCTTTACAACATATATCAAGGTCAAGGTCATCCGAGGGGAGTAATGTAAAATTTACTCACGTTCAATGTGGTTTTAAGTTGCATGCATATACTATTATGCAATTAATTATATTTATATTATAAAGCATCAGCAAGAGTACAATATTCAACTAACGATATATACTTTTATTCTTCGTTGTTCATCTCCGTGTTTTCCAATTGTCCTTCCATTTTGCCCTTGAGAGAAGTGAGACTAAGAGGAGGATCTAGTTTCTCGCGTTCTTCGGTCTTATCCCTTTTGGATCTGTACAACGGATTTTCAAATCTACCACCAGTTGGCTGCGTTATGCTCTCGTCATTAGTTTGCTGTCTGCTCGTTCCGGCAACTTCAGCGATTTGAACATTCCCTTCTGGGATGTTTTCAAAACGAGCGAAACCGTGTTTTTGTTTCTCCGCATGAATTCCATCTCGAACAGATGACACAACTTCCATGCATGTCGAGAGAATGCTGCAAAGGTTAGATTTCGTCAAAAAAATATATGAACATATAACAAACGTCATATATGCTATAACATTATAACTAAGATTACTTGTACGATTTCCAATTTTATAGATGTGTGCGTTAGGTCGAAAAACTCTAGTAAATAAATATAAGGTAGATATGAAGCCTAGGTGTTGTTGTTGTGTAAGGATTTGACGCTGGTCAAATATTGTAAATGGATACATATATTGTAAATGGATAATACAGACCTAGGAGTCGATTGATTATAAAGTAAAAGAGAAAATATTGAGTTATAAATTGATTAAGTATTTTTTTCTAGTAGCTACTAAAATCTCAAGTAAACAGCTGAAAATAATTTGCCAATCGCGATTGTTATTGATATTCCTAGACAGTACAACATGTTATAAATAAAGTAATTTCAAATGTGTCCCGGATCTGTAGAGAGAATAGTCAGCAATATCCATAATATCCTGAATATTCAAAATAGTCTCAAAACATTTTGTGCTTTCTAAGTTACAAAATAAAATAATTTTGTCAATATAATCTACCCAAATAAATGAGTACTGTACACGGATAACAATGTATACAGAATTTTTTAAAAATTCATATTTTTTATTACATATTCTCTTTCTATCAATTTTTACATCTAAAAATATGAAAATAATATCAATAAAAAATTAATATTCTATCAAGTATTTTATTTTTTTATTTTTTGACATATCTTGAAAAATATAAAAACTAAAAATCTCATAAAATATCAATATTTGTTATTTTATAAGATAACAAAAATATCTTTTTGTTGATCTTATGTTAATATTTTCATGCGCAAAATAATTTTAAAACTAAAGAACAAGAAATGGTAATAAAAATAAATAAATGAATACTGTACCTAGATACATTACTTGGGTTTGAAAATCTTTTATTTGTTGAAAAATGTTATTTGTGAAATGCAAATATTCAAACAATATTTAAAAGACTCAAGTACTTGGGATATTTAGAACAAACAAGCATTTAGACAGTAACAAGCTTCTGAAAGACATCTTAAAGATGTCTGAAAAACGTGTAAAGGACGTCTGAATAAAATAGAATGTGTTTAACATATCTTTTAAAATTTTATGCTATCTGAAAATAGTATCCGAGATATTCAGGTACCCGGATTTTTTATACTACTAAAAGCAAGAAGTAAGAAAATTGTTTAAGCAGACGATATAATGACGATAACATGTAGACCTTTCGTGTACGTGTAGATTAGATCACATTGAACAAAAATTCTTATACCATTTTGCCAACATCTACGTAGATTATTAAATTAATATTTAAATAAAATTGGCGTACAATCGAACGTAATCAATTGCCAGTCTTTTTTAATTAATAACTAAAATTTTTTTGATGGTTGTTTACCAAATAGTAGAAGAATTTTTTGTTCAGTTTAATCTACACGTCTACGTAATCTAGCTTAATCTACACGTATACGAGAGCCTTATATGTTATCATCAGACACTCTGTAGATCTAGAAATTCCTAATAAAATTCGAAGGAAGGATATTTATATTCTACCAGAATGAGATTACATTGAGACTCGGTTTTTTGTCATCGCTATTGCATCTATTTATATTATTTTCTTTCATCAACTTCATTTCTCTCATTGCTTTCTCCTCCTCTTCCTTCTCTCTCAAAAGAGGTGTATCTTGTGGAATTATAATAACTGTATCTCAGTAATATTCCCAACAAGGAATTCTGGAATTTTGATTGTGGCATTTAATGAGTCGGCAACTACTGAGAGTATACTCGACGCGGGGAAAAATTACATGGCGGTCAATTCAATTCGGGCTGATGTCTGTTGAGAGCAATAATCAAGCAACCGGTCGGCCCGCCGAGGGAGCCAAACTAATTAAATGCTAGACGAGAGAGTGCGTGCGTATTCGAAGGGAGTCGCAAATGAACGTGCGCGGACGCACAGAGAGGTGCGCGAATGAAGAAATTAATGTTGAAAGGACGTCGGGAAATACGAAACCCGTAAATGAGAAAACGGTGGCAAGTTCACTGACTGCTAAATTGCTGTTCCAGTTGGTACTTCACAAATTAAAATACCCTGTTTCGCTGCCTGACTCGCATTCCTCTCGTTTCGTTGGTTTCACTCTCCTCCACCATCTCCTCCTCCTTCTTCTACATCATCCACCCTCTTCCCTTTTCACTCTACCCCTTTCTCTCGCGCTCATCGTATCGGATGAACGTCTGGGAAATGAGAATCCCGGAGTTCGACGTTTTCCATTTCCCCGCGGATTTAATAGCTGCGACTCGGGGAGAAATTTTGTCAGCTGCGTATTTGCGACCAGCCTGATGGAGTTGCAAGCAATCTCGTTGTCTGTCCTGGCCACCCACCGTCTTTTCGCTCCTTACAGCGGCGACGGTGACGATCGTCGGTTCGCGCTGTTCTTGTTAATACGAATTAACGTTACACCTTACTTTAATTTGTATAATTGTCGTTTGCACTTCATTTACACTTCATTACAGTTACTCTGATATCTTGGCATTTATATGGAGACTAACAATAAACGGAGTTAACAATAATATTCATTATCATGCATGATATTATCTTGAAATTATTTAAACGTAGTGACCATCTTAAGAACTCAGAAAAAGTGATGCAAACCTAATTTCATTAATAGATTATTATTTTATGAGACACTCGTAATAATATTCTTTCACTTCCTCCTAGATCACCCATTTGCCTTCCAATTTCAAAAGAGCTCCCCTTTAAAGATTCATAACCTCTATCCAACTATCCAACAGTCAAAGAAATAATTTCATATTTGTATTATGCATCGCATGTTTTGTTCAACAATTTGTCATTAATATTTAGCGATTTTGTAGCAGAAACTAACTTCAGCTGGAAATTGTTTGATTTACCTTTAAAAAGGATTATAAATATCTTATGTTTTCTTACATTAAAATATTGATTTGTACTATTATTTAATCACATTATATAAATATTTATTTTTACATTAAAGATATTTATGCATTACATTCAAACTTAAGCATCCTAATCTATTACATTGTAATAAAAAGATTACTATTACATTGTAATAAAAAGATATAAGCCACTAAACTCTATGTTATCTATTCGCTTTAAAATAAAAGATAAACAATTGAAAAGTTACGTTAAAGTTATTTCACGGATGAATTCTTCCTACACGCTTGCTATTAAGCATCAATTAAAATATTATTATTCAGTTGTTCATGATACTTTAATTGATTAGAGAATATGTTCTACCGGCGGTAGAGTATATCAGATTTATTCTTAAATTTTAAGTGAAAATATTCACTCAATGATTCAGAGTGAAAGATTCACTCTATAGGAATGAAAAATAACTCGAATCGAGTGACTTGACTGTCACTTGGTTTTTCGAGTGAAATTTTACTTTGTTATTGTTTAATTGTTATTATAGAAATTTTATTACAAGCAATTTATTTGAGTAACCCTTGAGAATGCACAAATTTATCTAGTGAATTATCCGTTGCGTAATACACCATGTGTTAAGTAGAAAGATTGGGATAAAACTAATAAATCGTATTAAAGTAAAAAATCCTTGTTCTTAAAAGTCAATATATATAATTAATGGAAATTACTGAATCTTATATAGGTCATCGCTTGAAGTTTCATTTAGACCACGCCTTCTTGATGGTTAAACAAAACAATAGTTTATTCTACAAACTAAAAAGTGAAATATTTAATTATATCAGTTTGCAATCATTTTTACCTCTTTTTCTCGCACACACTCTCTGTATGTTGTTTGTATTTAAAACTGCCAGAATTCAGATTAATATTATTTTATTTCGTATTCAAAATTGCTCGACGAGCTCTCGAAAAAAACCAATATCGCGTTCACCGGACACTATCGGCTGGTCGGAAATGATTGCGAGCAGAACGAGGACATGAACACGTGCGAGCACACGCTGTGTATATCCACGATTTTATATTGGGTAGTCCATGCAATTGCTTTTCAGTTCTTTCCTCTCATTCACAAATATATGAAACAGCAGAATTGGTATTCATACTTGAATTCATTATTATTGGTATTCAGAATTTAGATCGATATTCATAGTTTGTTACTTACTATTCATAATTTATTACTTGATAAATTGTCGGAACCTTGTCAATCTCTAATTATTTAGCAATCTGTACTTATTTCATACAAGAAATATAAAAAATACAAATCATCATATTACACTCTATGAATACGAATCTATAATTAATTATATTCTCAATCATAGATTGTGAATAATTCGCAACTGTACAAACTATTCTTAAAATCTAATGTAAATACTTTGTCTGTATAAAAAGGCTACTACAAATTTCATCTAGAATCCGTCGACACCCTGTTTAGACTTTTGTTTATCCATGTTATTGTAAACAAAGTTATTATATTATATTATATTGTACTATATTATATTATACTGTATTGTGCTATATTATAGGGATATGCGATTCCAATTTAATTATCGAGAAAAACAATTTTTTCTTACAGAGATTGATGTTTTTTCAATCGATTCTTTTTTCTATTACGGCACGAATTGGTTATTTGCATAGAGACATTTTTTATTCATCAATATGCCTATTCATCAATTTTGTGTTATGTTTAAAAAATCAGACCGTATTCGACATTTGATTGAATTAAGATGTTGTTTTAAGGCGATATTTTATCTTGTTGGGTGAGAAAAATGTCTGTTTTGAAGAATTTTTGTAGAGAAAAATATTGAAGCAATTAAGATATAATTTTTTTTATAAATATTTTTTTATTTTTGTAGAGTGTGATGGTATTTTTTGTTATCGATTATTCAATGGATTGTATATACAGTCCAATCTGTTGTGCAGTTTACTGTGCAGTGTGTTATTATGCGTGATTTAATATACGTGCTATGATATGTTGTATGTGGTGCAGTGTGCTACGTTGCGTGTTGTGTTGTGGATTGTACGCTGTATTGCACTAATATGCCGTATGATATGCTGTATGTTGCATAGTATATTGTGTGCTGCATGCTGCACTGTATGTTGTACTGTGAGTTGTATGTTGCGATGTGTGTTATGTGCTGTGCTGTATACTGTGCTATGTGCTATCCTCTGTGTTTTAACATATTGAAAATTCAAAATTTTAATACTTTTAATATTTTTTTTTCGATACAACTCAGAACTTGGCCAATAGTACGATAAGAGAACTTAACTTCTGGGAAATAATTGAAAACAAAGTCCCTCATTAGATCATTAGCATTACGTATTACATCGAATAATATATTAAAGCGCGGCGGGACGCGCCGGCAAGTTCTGTATCGACCGCGAATTTCAACAATAATTGTAAATTGTACGCGATCACCGCTATCAGGAGAACGCGAGCGTCTGTTTTTGTATTTTTTTTTATGAAAAAAGAAGTGATCCACCATTATTTGCGTTTACATAAATTATAATTATAAATTCAATAATAAAATTGCATCGAAAAAATGTTTAAATCGTAATAAGATTAAGTGTATAACTGAAATTTTGACTCGGAATGGCCGTGGATCTTCGATTAAACTCGTCTTTTTTGTCTCTCGTCGTGTAGTTAATCTTCCGTTACTCGTACGCTTTTTGGAACACAAATAATGTCGCAGGTCACATGAGAGATATTATTATTATACCTCACTTATTTTATACACTCAGTCTAAGTAAACAATACTTAGTTTAAATGAAAAGAATTTTTGTTTAAATAATGGTACCCATCTAAAAAATTTGTTAATATTATAAAATTTGTTAAACCTAAATATTTGTTAATTTTTAAAGACATTTTTTTCAGTAGAAAATCTACGTTTTAAATATAATTTTCCTATCTACTACTTTTAAAATTCGTGGAAACATTAAAATAAAACAAATTTAATTAAATATTTTATTATTTACATGAAAAACACGTTAAGCAATACAATATTAAGAAAAAAAAACAGTATACAATATGTGTATTATATTCTTTTAAAATCGCGTTGCAATTTTTTAAAATAAACTTTAGAAAATAATAAAGAAAATAAGGATCATTAGCTCTTTCAAATGAAAAACAAAAGATTTAATGTAAAAATAAGCCAGGCAACAATATGAGAAATATACTAATTGTCGCGATACATTCATCAGGCGTTTTTATTTTTTATAGCTCTGATGTTGATATGCTGCGAAAGGCAAATATGCACTTCTACGGAGATAGGAGAGATAGGGGATAAAAAAATATGACGCGTGCCCCTTTAACCTTCACTCTATGTTGCATTAAAGGAATTCGGACTGCATCTCATAGGTGCGCGCGAGTAATAGAAGATTAATCCTTCGTTGCGCGCACAATTACGTTTTGAGGATATCCTTTCAACTCGATTGCCCTCGTTTTCTTCCGCCACCACGAATTGTTGTTATTACTACCTCAACCATATATCCAGTGTTTGCACGAGCGTTGAAAGTGTACGTCGCGGATAATCGTCAGAGCCAAGATAAAACTCGCGCGCGTTCATATGCGGCGAAGTTCTCTGGCTTTTTTTTCCGCTTCCGTCGATTCTAACAGTAATATTTATTTAACCTGACGGTTACGCGAAAACAAATCGCTTCTTTTTTCATAAAAAAAGGACAAAAAACAGACGCTAGCGTTCTCGTGATAACGGCGATCGTGACGCGTACAATTTACAATTATTGTCGAAATTCACGGTCGATGCAGAACCTGCTGGCACGTCCCGCCGAATTCAGCCGCGCTTTAATATATTATTCGATGTAATATGATGTATTATAATGAATTACTTAATATCCGGCTGCGCCGAGAATGTGTGCAAATATAGGGGAACAACACGTGGTGTGCGCCAAATGCCGACACTGCATTGCGCATTCGGTGACATTCGGCGGCACTCGCCCATGATATTCGATATATCAAGCGTACGTTAAATATTTAATTCCACGTAACAACGAGAAATTGCGTTGGATTTTAATTGCGTCGATCGTTCGACACTCGCGCTTGTGTCTCGCGATTTGTGAACGGCTATGAGAACACGTGTTTCTACGCGATGATATATTATTATACTCACTGTTTCAAAGAATAACCGACGTATAGACAGCCCAGTAGATAGAGAACGATCAGGATGAGCAGTATGCCGAAAAATGGCCCGAGGGTGACAGCCAATCGAGAATCCTTCACGGATGCGCCCGCCGCTTCCGCGATCATCACGTTAATTCCCGTGTCTAACAAAGGAAAGTCTTATTTGTTTTTCATTCGTTGATTGCAGTAGGCAATAATTTTTAACTTTCTGACTGCACTTTTGGTATACTCTTCGTACAATTTGAAAGCTCTGAACAAATGATAACAATAAAAGAGTTTAATTCATAATATCGTAACATCGTCGTTTGGAGAAAAAAAAGGCAAAACTCGATTTTAATAATTTAATAAGTATTGCAAAGTCGATATATACAAGTTTTACCACAAATATGAGTAGATTAAATGTTATCATCATCTTTTATTTCGCGTCTAAAATATAGTTCAAATGTTTTACGAGTAGGATTAACTTGCACCTTTGTCTCACTAAAGTAAATTCGCCAAAAACAAAAAATCACTTTTATTGCGAAATTATCACTTTTATTGCGAGATATATAGCGATTCTACTTGTAAAACAACACTGTTAACATAAAGCATAATGCATAATTAACAGCAATTAAGAAAAAAACACATTTCCAATAAAATACCAACTTCTTTTAAGTTCCTAGCTAAACTAAAGAGAATTCACAAAAAGAACCCGTTTACCTCTTAATAAACCACTCTGACAAGGCAACAAAACAATTTCCACAGTATGAAGATGGCTCTAAGAGAGAGTGATTTCACCATCAAAGTGTTGATTTCAACATAGCAGTGTAAATATATTTCTGTAAAAAATTGCTAAACTATTGCCATAAATGATATTAATTCTGAAGGAAAATATTTAAAAATTTATAGTCGTGTATCTCTAAACTGTTACCAATAGAATATTTTGTTTACTACATTTGAATTTAGTAGGTCAGAATTGGTAAGTAAAAATTGGTGACTTTTATCTCTGCAAAATAACTGTTAATAAATGTTAATGTTTCTTCGCGTAAGTCAACAAATTGTTGTTTTTTACGACAAATTGCGTAAAATTTGCCTTAATCTTTTATAAAATTATAAGTAAATAATTAATTTTTTAATTAAAACAATAATTAATATAAAGGAATTAAAGATCGTTTAATTAATAATTGCAAATTGAATTAGCAAATTGAATTAAAAGCAATTCAATTGACGATTAGTCAGTTAAACGGAATTTATTATTGAGTAAATTCAATCGAAAACTGCTCAATCATAATTGTAATGATCGAAATTCAATGACATAAACTATTCAATGACGATTGCTACTTTGAACGAAGGGGATTCTACAGTAACTACAGCGTCTGAGAAAGTTGTGAATTTAGCGAGAAAAAGAAAAAAAATTCGCAAATAAAAAGACTCAGCATATACAATCGAAGAAAAATGATAGCCAAATGAGAGTCAGTGCTGTTGTACGAGTAAGATGTTATGTTACATTATTGATTGAGAAATTATAACAATAATGTTATGTTATCGTTAGTTACTGTTCACTGGGTAATGACATAATATAAAAAAATATATT